CTCAAGCAGCTAAGGCACCAGCCACATACACCTAAGGTGGTGGGTTTGAATCCTGTCTGGGCCTGCCAAACAACAATGACAACTACAACCAAATGTAGCTGGGCATTGTGGTGGGTGCCTCTAGTCCCATCTACTTGGGAGGCTGAGGCAAGAGAATCGCTTAAGCCTAGGAGTTGGAGGTTGCTGTGAGCTGTGATGCCATGGCACTCTACCAAGGGCAACACCTTGAGGCTCTGTCTCCAAAAAAAAAAAGAAAGAAAAAGAAAAATCCACATCTAGGTAATGTAAGCTAAAATACCCAGCTAGTGTAATAATTATGTACTTTTTTCCTAGACTATAAAGTGAACATACTTGAATAGAAATATTGATTCTGCATATAAAACAGCTTTTGTGCTTTTCATACATAATTACTTTAAACCAAAAAGACAGAACATAGAAATGGTGTCTGCTTATAAAGTTCTAATGAAACAATTTCCAGGAAATACCTAATTTAGATAGTTACTCCTGACTATAATACTAGGTAATACACATTACATTGTATGTATACATCTTGTTTGACTAATCAGTAAAGTTATAAAATTATATTAGTATTAAATGAAAAAATTAAGGTTTTTATAACATCTTTGAAAATAGGTAGTGTTAGTAGATAAAATATGTAATTTTTATTTTATAGTGAAGGAAGAAGATAACAGTGAAAAATAATTTGAATTTTAATAGTGTCAGTTTTTAAAAATCAGGGCAAAATGCTTTCTTGAATAATAGAAATCCTTTATATTTGTTTTTGTTAGTACTCCCACTCTCTTGAGTTCTAAAATGCTTGTTTCATACACTGTAATATGTGAACTGTAATAAGGTAAAAGCAAGCACAAGCACACTGAATAAATATAGAAACCACTTATCTATTTTCATATTAAAAAACTTGTCAGGGCTCAGTTAGGCTTCATGTACTAGATACTTTAAAATTATTGTGATTTTCATCTTTCATAAAATTATTATAGCTGTGGTTTGACTCAGCTTTTATTACTGTGTGGACTGTTTTTGCAACATACTGTAATGAAGATTATATGAGCAATATTCAAAACTTCAGTCTCCCGAGCAGCGTTTAATATTTTGTTATGAGATTATTTTCCCTCTCTCCCTCCCTCTGCATCATTCTGTCCCTTCTTTTGATAGTTTAGTTTTTATGACTATCAAGGGATTCTTTATTTTGAGCCAAAAGATTATTCAGAGTTGCATAATAGTGAATAAAGGAGCTGTATAGAAAGTGGGTTGTCATTCTTCCAGTGGTAATAAATTATTATGATGTAAATTATACCTCCTGGAGACCTGAGAAAAAGTTAGCTCCCTCACCCCTCCCATGCCCAGTTCTAGTACCCTAGTTCTCCCTCTATTTTATAAATATAAAAGATATGAAAATTCTGATATTATACATATAAAATTAGGGTAGCTTTAAAAAAAATTTCAGATTAATATGAGGGTTTAAATGAGGTTATAGTGTTTATATTTCTTAGGTAAAGTCCAAGATGTAGTTGAACCCTTCACCTAGGTGTGCCATGTACCCCTACATTGTGCCTGTTAGGTTAGAGCACACTGGGCGGTGCCTTTGCCTCAAGGTTAGAGCACACTAATCCCCCTCCATCCTTCTGTCTCTCCCCACACCTGAATTTAATTGTGTTTTTCTCTTGGGTGGGTATGTAGTTCATCTACTGGTTTCATATTAGTATTGAGTACACTGGATACTTGCTTTTCCATTCTTGTGATACTTTTCTAAAGAGTATGTTCTTCAACTCCATCCAGGTTAATACAAAAGGTGTAACATCTCCACCTGACTTTTTTATGGTCAAATAGTATTCCTTGGTATACATATACTACAGTTTATTAATTCATTCACAGTTAATGGGCACTTGAGTTGATTCCACATCTTGATTGTGAATTTGAGCAGTGATAAACATTCTAATGCAAATGTTCATATGGTAAAATGATTTTTTTTTCATCTGGAGAACACTTAGAGAACTAAAAATAGACCTGCCATTTGACCCTGCAATTCCTTTATTAGGTATATTCCCAGATGACCAAAAATCGCATTACAACAAAGGTATTTGTATCAGAATGTTTATTGCAGCCCAATTCATAATTGCCAGGTCATGGAAGAAGCCCAAGTGTCCATTGATCCACGAATGGATCAACAAACTGTGGTATATGTACACCATGGAATACTATGTAGCCATTAAGAAGGATGGAGATCCTTCATGTTCACATGGATGGAGCTGGAGAATGTTCTTCTGAGCAAAGTATCACAAGAATGGAGGAAAAAGTATCCAGTGTATACACCCCTATTATGAAACTAATTTATACCTTTTATATGAAAGCTATAACCAAATAGCCTAAGAATATGGGGAGGGGAGACGGAGAAGGGAGGGGGAAATGAGTGGAGGGAGGGGGATTGGAGGGATCACTTCTGAGGTTTATCTTACAGGGGTACAAGTGAATCTTTCTAAGAGTAGAATGTGAACGCTTTAAAACAATAACTGAGAAAATGACATGAAGGCTGTGTTGACCAGTTTGATGGAAGTATTTCAGATTGCATGTGAAAACCCCACACTGTACCCCAGAAGTGCATTAATGTACATAGTTACCATTCAATAAAAAAAAAAAAAAAACTAAACAAAAAAATGATTTTTTTTCTTCTGGCTAGATATCAAGTAATGAGATTATGGGATCAAATAGAAGGTCTACTTTTAGTTCTTTGATAATTATCCATACATACTTCTTTCCAAAGAGGCTGTATTAGTTTGTAATCCCACCAGCAGTGTAAAAGTGTTTCCTTCTCTCCAAAACCACTCCAGCATCTGCAGCTTCAGGACTTTGTGATGTGGGCTGTTCTCATTGGGGTTAGTTGATATCTCAAGGTGATTTTGATTTGCATTTCTCTGATGATTAGGGATGATGAGGATTTTTTAATGTGTTTGTTAGCCATTCAACTGCCTTCTTCAGAGATGGTTCTGTTCATGTTTTTTACAGTGAAAAATGGGATTGTTTGCTATTTTTTTGTTGATTAACTTGAGTTCTCTGTAGATCTGGTTATGAGCCCTTAAGGCAGTGGTTCTCAACCTTCCTAATGCCGCAACCCTTTAATACAGTTCCTTATGTTGTGGTGACCCCCAACCATAAAATTATTTTCGTTGCTACTTCATAACTGTAATTTTTGCTTCTGTTATGAATTGTAATGTAAATATCTGATATTAGGCAACCCCTGTGAAAGGGTCAGTCAACCCCCAAAGGGGTCACAACCCATAGATTGAGAACCGCTTGCTCCCTTAAGGGGTTTTGGCATGAGGATTGAAGAGTCTTGACACAGGATCTGTGCTGGGGAACTGAGGAGTCAGGGAGGAGTCCTCTTGAGCAAACCTCAGGTCTGTGTTTATTATCATAAAACAGGAAGAATTAGGTAAAATCTGCTTATCTGACATCGGCACTGATAGGGAGGACATGGAGAAGATCAGATAGAATGTCTCCACCTTTGTTTTTGCAAAACTGCAGACCTTGAGCATGATCTTTGCCTCCAGTGTCAAGAGAGCTAGGGAATCTAGAGAATCTTTACCAGAACTATTAGGCTTGGTATTACCACACCTCACATAAACATTCTTTCTTGAAGGTCAGTTTTCTGCCCTCCTGTCTATACACAACTCACATGCCATTCTTGTGACTCTAGGTCTCTCAACCAGAAAATGAGCTTATGCTCAAGGTCACGGCATAGTTTTCCCTATAGAGTCCTTTGTCAGATTCGTGACATGCAAATATCTTTTACATTCTGAAAGCTGTGTGTTTGCTTTAATTATTGTGTTTTTAGTTGTGCAGAAGCTTTTTAGCTTAATTAGGTCCCATTTATTTTTGTTGTTGCGATTGCCAATGAAGTCTTCATAAAATCTTTCCCCAGGCCAATAGCATCAAGGGTTTTTTCCATGCTTTCTTCTAGGATTTTTATGATTTCATGTGTTAGATTTAAATCTTTTATCTTTCATGAGTCAATTTTTGTAAGTGATGAGAGGTGCGGGTCCAGTTTCATTCTTTTACATGTTGTTATCCAGTTATTCTGGCACTGTTTATCAAGTAGGTACTTTTCTCCAGTGTATGCTTCTGTTTGATTTATCAAAGATCAAATGGTGATATGAGGCTGGTTTCATCTCTAGATTTTCTATTTTGTTTCATAGCTCTAGGTTTCTATTTTTGTGTTGATACCATGCTGTTTTGATTACTGTGGACTTAAGGTATAAGTAACACTTCTGGCATTGTTTTTATTACTAAGAATTATGTTGTCTCTATGGATTTTTTTCTGGTTCCACACAAAAAGAACTTTCTTGGGTTTTTTTTGAGTTCTCAAAGTATGCTGTTGGTATTTTAATGGGATTGCATTACATCTGTGGCTTGCTTTGGGTAGTATAGACATTTTAACAATGTTGATTTTTCCGGCTTGGCACCTGTAGCTTAGTGGTTACAGGACAGCCACATACACCAAGGCTGGCAGGTTCAAACCCAGCCCAGGCCAGCTAAACATCAATGACAACTGCAACAAAAAATAGCTAAGTGTTGTGGCGGGTGCATGTAGTCCCAGATACTTGGGAGGCTGAGGCAAGAGAATTGCTTAAGCCCAAGAGTTTGAGGTTGCTGTGAGCTGTGATGCCATGGGCACTTTACCAAGGGTGACATAGTGAGACTCTGTCTCAAAAAAAAAATGTCAATTTTTTGTAGCCCAAAGCATGGTATATTCTTCCATTTACTAATGCCTTCTGCTTTTTCTTTTCTCAAGGTTTTGTAATTCTCTCTGTAGAGATCCTTCACCTCTTTTGTTGTATATATTCACAGGTTTTCATTTTCTTTGAAGCTACTGTGAGAGATATTGTGTCCTTGATTTGCTTCTTGGCTTGATTATTATTGGTGTATAGGAAGACTTCTGACTTGCAGACATTGATTTTATATCCTGAGATGTTAACTGTATTTCTTGATCACTTCTAGGAATCTTGTGGTTGAGTCTCTGGGATTTTCTTCATCTTCTTCTTATTTTTTTGGAACACTTTACTAATTTGCATGTCATCCTTGCGCAGGGACCATGCTAATCTCTATATCGTTCCCATTTTAGTATACGTGCTGCCAAAGTGAGCTCATCTTTGGGATTTTCTAAGTATAGGATCATATCATGATGAGAATGAGAGTTGACCTTCTCTATCCCCATTTGGATACCCTTAATATCCTTCTCTTGCCTAATTGCTTTGGCTAGAACTTGAAGCACAGTGTTGAATAGTAGTGGTGACAGTGGACATCTCTATCTGGTTCCAGTTCTACGTGAAAATGCTTTCAGTTTTACTCCATTCAGTAAGATATTGGCTATGGGTTTGTTGTAGATAGCTTCTATAATTTTAAAAAATATCCTATCTATGCATATTTTCTTAAGTGTTCTTGTCAGATAGGGATGCTGAATTTGGCCACATGCTTTGAGAGGACCATATGGTTTTTGTTTTTGCTTCTATTTATGTGTGAATTACATTTATGGGTTTGTGTATGTTAAATCAACCTTGTATCCCTAGGATAAAGTCTACTTGAGTGGATGTATAATTTTCTTTAATGTGTAGGTATATTCTGTTTTCTCGGATTTTATTGAGGATTTTTGCGTCAATATTCTTTAGGGAAATTGGTTGGTAGTTCTCCTTTTTTGTTGGGGCCTTTCTTGGTTTTGGTATCAGGGTGATTTTACTTCATAAAATGTGGTGGGGAGAGTTCCTTCCTTCTCAATGTTTTGGAATAGGTTCTGCAGTATAGGTACAATCTCTTCTTTGAAGGTTAGATAAAATTCTGATGTACAAAGCCATCTGGTCCAGGGGTTTTTTTTGTTAGGAGCTTTTTTATTGTTGCAATTCAGGGCTTGATATTGGTCTTTTCAAGACATCTATTTCTTCTTGGTTAGAAATAGAAAGGTTGTGTGATTCCAGGTTTTGGTTCATTTCCTCTACATTTTCAAATTTCTGGGCATAGGAGTTTTTTGGTAGTAATCAGGGATGGTCTTTTATATCTCTGTGAAATCTATTGTTATTTCCTCTTTTTCATTTTGGAGTGAGGTTATTAGAGATCTTATTTTTCTATTTCTAGTTAATCTGGCCAAAGGTTTATCTATGTTGCTTATCTTTTTGAAGAACCAACTTTTTGTTTCATTAATTTTCAAAAGATTATTTTGTTTTCACTTTCTTTTGTTTCTGATCTAATTTTGTTTATTTATTTTTTTCTGCTAGATTTGGAATTGGATTTCTCTTCCTTTTCTAGTTCTTTGAGATGATTTATTAGGTTGTTGATATGTACCCTTTCTGTTTTTTGCATGTGGGCATCTAATGTGATGCATTTTCTTTTTAGAACTGTTTTTCCCAGAGGATTTGATAGCTTTTGGCTTTATTATTGTTATATTCAAGGAATCTAATGATTTTCTTCTTTGTCTTTTCCTTAACCCAGTTGTGTTCAGCATAAGGTTGTTTAGTTTCCATGACTTTGTGTAGGGATGAAGGTTTTTGTTGGAACTGGGTTCTACCTTTATTCCTTTACGGTCTGAAAAGATACTAGGTATAATTTCCATTTTTTAAATTTTGTTGAGGTTTGATTTGTGTACTAGGATATGATCAATTTTGGAGTATGACCCATAAGCTGATGAGAAGAACATATTATAGGGTAATTTTTATTATTAAATGGCTGTTTTTGTATTTTTAAAATTGTTAATGTTGATGACTTTGAGTGTAAATACCATGAGGATTTTCTTAGTAATAAAACATTAAAAATGCTACATGAGCCAGGTGTAGTGGCTCATGCCTATAATCCTAGCACTTGGGGAAGCAGAGGAGGGTGAATCTCCTGAGCTTAGGAGTTTGATGCCAGCCTAAGCAAGAGCAAGAATCTGTCTGTACTAAAAAATAGAAAAATAAGCCAGGCATTGTGGTGGGTACCTGTAGTTCTGGCTACTTGGGAGGCAGAGGCAAGAGGATTGCTTAAACCCAAGAGTTTTAGGTTGTCAGTTATGATACTATGGTATTCTACCCAGGGCAACAGAGTGAGACTCTGTCTCAAAAAAATAAAAAAAGTTACATGGGATCACTTGATAGGAATTAAAAAGATTAAATTAGATTTAGTTGTAATAATCAACTCTATTAAATGTGAGACTGATTAAATGAAACTTAAATATGAAGAAAATGGCTTGTAACTTTACTGCTATAATCTGTATTAAGGAAAAGGTTGAAAGCAGTGGAAAATTGACTAGGTTACATATGAAGATATACCTATCTTGAGCAGAAATACTATAATTAAAATGAAAAAAAATTGAAATCTAGAGAAGTTAAATGAATTGTTAAAATTCATATGAGTAGTGATTATGAGAGCTAAGACTACATCTCTTTGACCTTAAACAGACTATGCTGCTGTGAGGTCAGGCAAGCTTTTCCTGCAGCTGCAGGGACCAGGTTGGTTTGTGAGTAATCTGAGGGATATTAGGTTAGACTAGACACAGTTGGTAAAAGGAAAAGGTAGGTCAACATCTAGTGCAATTAACTGTTGCCTTTGAAAATCTGGACCCAGGTCATTATTACTTTAGAGGATTTAAGGGAGAATAGATTAATTTCATTTCTGAGTGATTTTTACTTAGACACCTAGAACTATTTCTTTCATTCTGAGTATATTGGACTTAATGAATGAACTCAAGAACTAATCTGGTGTCCGTATAAAGTGGTGGAGTAAACCAGACTTGTAGGGGCAACACCAAACTAGATGGGATGCCCTGTCCTAAATTATTTTTTCTTGCCTATTTTCTTATTCTCAAATACTACGTATAGCAGGAATTTTATCTATGGGCAGTGGGGATATACATCTTTTTTATATTGTGCATCCATTAACAAATTACCATAGCTATAGTTCTTTTTATTTTTATTTTTTGGAGACAGAGTCTCTGTTGCCCTTATCTAGAGTACACTGGCATCATTGTAGTTCACTGTAACCTCAAACTCCTGGGTTCAAGTGAGTCTTCTGCCTCAGCCTTCTGAGTACCAGGGACTACAGGCATGTACCATCAGACCTAGCTAATTTTTCTATTTGTTGTAGAAATAGGGGTCTCGTTATTGTTCAGCCTGGTCTCAAACTCCTGAGCTCAAGTAATCCTCCTGCCTTGGCCTTCCAGAATTCTAGGAAAACAATCATTAGCCACCATCCCTGGCCTATTGTTAATATACTTTTTAAACTTTTACTGCAGAGTTAAAAGTGATGTATGCACTACCATAACAATATTAGAGATTTTTAGGATGGGTATGGTAGTTCTTACCACACCTTCCAGAGGCTAAGGCAGGAAGATTGCTTGAGGCTAGGCGTTTGAGACCAACCTGGACAACACAGTGAGGGCTAATTTCTATGAAAAATATAAAAACCAGCTTGTATACTTACAGTCTCAGTTGCTTAGAGGCTAATGTAGGAAGATTGCTACTTTAGGAAGAGTTGAAGGCTATGGTGAACTATGATCACACTATTGCACTCTAGGTGAGTGAGACCTTGGCTCTAAAAATGAAACAAACGTTAAAAAAAGATAGATTCTGATTTTGACTATATATTTATTAGTGAGTTTTATGCATGCATATATTTTTACATTGTTCGTTTATGCCCTTTGAAGGAGTCCCATTACCATTTCCTATAAGTCAGGCTTAGTGTTATTTATTAACTCCTTTGGCTTTTGTTGGGGGAAAGTCTTTATTTCTTCCTCATTTCTGAAGATAGATTTCTCAAGTGTAGTATTCTTGATTAGCAAGGTTTTCAATTCCATATATTGAATACATGATTCAACTTTCTCCCGCCTGCAAAGTATCTGCTTGAGAAATCCATTTATAATCTAATGTGAGGCTTCCTTATATATGACAAGGTGCCTTTCTCTTGATATTTTCATAACTCTGTTTTTATTTTTGACTTTGATGATTTAATTATTCTATGTCTTGGTAGACCTTTTCAGGTTCAACATATTTGGGAATTTTGGGGTTCTTGAATCTGGATATCCATTTCCCTCTCCGAATTTGGGAAGTCTTCAGCCATTATTTCTTTAAAGAGATTTTTCTGTCTCTTTATCTGTTTCATTTCCTTCTGATATTTTTGTAATACATGTATTGTTTTCCTTGATGATTAATTTTAAATGACTTATCTTTGAGTTCATTAGTTTTTTCTTCCACTTGACTAAGTCTGCTATTGCAACCTCTATTAAATTCTTTAATTGTCATTGTATTCTTGAACTCCTGGATTTGTTAAATGGTGTTATTGCTTTATTTGAGTTATTTTATTGATGTATTGTTTTCCTAATTACCTCTCATTGTCCATTTGTGGTTTCTTGTGTTTATTTAGCTTTAACAGGACTATTCTGAATTCTTTGTTGGTCATTTTGCATATCTCTATTCTTTTAGGGTCAGTTATTGCAGCTTTATTAGTTAGTTGGGTATGATAGGAGAAGAAACATAATTTATATTTATTTAATGGTGAAATTTTGCTTATTTCATAGTAAGACAAACTTTCTTTAGATCCAGAGAATATTCTTTTAGAACTGTAGTGTTACTCTTATAATTTTTGTTCAGCATTTTGAGATCTGAGTGTTCTCTGTAAAGATGTTTTATACTTTGTACCAGTGCCAAAATGTAGTAAAAATTGATGAGAGCAAAGATATTTTAGATATGAAGGAGTAGACACATGTGGAGATAAGAACTTGGAAAATATAACACTTTTGTGAACTTAGTGAACTTTTATTTCATAATTAGGCCTCTATGAGAATAAATGTGTCAGGGAAAATAAGAGTACTTAACTAAATGAAGTTATAAAAACAGTTCAATTCTTTTTTTTTTTTAAACATTCAATTCTTAAGGGGTCAGCTGAGTCAGCAGAGTGAAAACATGTAGGAGTTGGTTCTTGATTATTTGGAAATAGATAATAAACTACAAAGAAGAGTTTGAGGCAATTATAGAAACAATCTTATGAAGAAAGAATACTTAAATGTATCTCAAATAATGTTTAAATATAATCTTAAATAATGTTATTTATATGAGATTAATTTTGGAAATCTGTAACATTTTGAGACTAGCATAGCATATTTTAATGCTTATTATCGATATTTCT